TACGAAGCTCTGGCTGGAGGGCTCAGACTCGCCCAAGCCCTGAAGATCGACCGGGTCAGTATCAAATCTGATTCCAGTTTGATCGTCGGGCAAGTGACCGGTAACATGGAAGCTAGAGAAGGTCGAATGGCGCAGTACAAGGACTTAATACTTGCCTTGTTGAAAGGCTTTGAGGAATTCAAGATCGCCCAAATCCCCCAGGCGGAAAATGCAGATGCAGACCTTCTCTCCAAATTGACGCAGTATGCTCCCGAGCATGTTTCAAAACTTGCCCGGGTAGAAATTCTTGATCATGCCAGCATTGAAAAATTGGAAGTAGCCGCCATAACAGGGGAAAGCCAGTCTGACCGGTCAAACTTGGTCGGGGCGGATGACAACTGGATGTATGATCTGATGGAATACTTGATGGATGGGACCTTGCCGGAACAAGATGACCGGGCAAGAAAAGTTAAGCTCAGGGCACCCCGGTTCCAAGTCCTTGACGGAAAGCTGTACAAGAGGGCATTCGGGGGACCCCTACTGAGGTGCCTAACCAACCGGGAGGCTGAACGAGTCATAGCAGAAGTCCATGAAGGTGTATGCGCAGCATGCCAAATGTCCCGCACCCTTTCACAGCGAATCATCTTGTTGGGGTATTACTGGCCAACAATTGTCCAGGATTGCGAGAGGTACGTTCAGAAGTGCAGAACCTGCCAGCTGTTCTACAAGTACCCCGGTAGGCCGGCGACCTACTATCACCCCGTATCAAATGTCATCCCATTCGCCAGATTTGGGGTTGATATCATCGGAGCGTTCCCAATTGCCCAAGGGGGGAAGAAATTTGTAATCGTGGCCATCGATTACTTCACCAAGTGGATTGAAGCCGAAGCCTTGGCCAATATCACCACGCAGCAATGCAAGAAGTTCATTTGGAAGAACATCATCACCAGGTTTGGGGCCCCCATGAACCTAATTACCGACAACGGCCCACAATTCCGAAATCCAAGATTCACTGAATACTTGGAGGGCTTCGGAATCAAGCACAATCGCTCCTCGGTGGCGTACCCCCAAGGAAATGGCCAGGTTGAAAACGCCAACCGAACGATTGTGGATGGCCTAAAGAAACGGTTGGAAGAAGCGGGAAACAAGTGGCTGGAAGAGCTCCCACATATCATCTGGGCGTTCCGAGTAACACCCAGGAGGGCTCATGGGGAAACTCCATTCTCCCTAACCTATGGGTGTGAGGCAAGGCTGCCCATCGAAGCCGAATTCCCAACGTTTCGGGAATCAAATTATCAACCCCAGCAGAACGAGGAAGATCACTTGGCCGAACTCAACTTGGTCGAAGAACGGAGAATGGCTGCGGAAGTTAAAATGAGCACATATCAACAAGTCGTGAAGAAATACCATGACAACAAGGTTGGACCGCGATACTTTCAAGTCGGCGATGAAGTCTTGCGAAGGAGGGAGGCTAGTAGACCGGGAGATGGAGGAAAGCTGGCCAAAAACTGGGAAGGGCCTTACCGGGTGAGAGCTATCATTCGCCCGGGAACCTACCGGTTAGAAACTCTTGATGGTGTACCGGTTGAAAGAACCTGGAATTCCCACCACCTTCGCAAGTTCTACAAGTGACTGTAATGCTAGGCAAGGCCTACTTCAATTATCAATCAAATCAAAGTTCGATACTCTACATGGTAGCAGCAGAATTGATAGGTCGAACCTATCCTAGGAGGGCTTCCCGGGTGGATCGGATCCACTCGGATAAGCCAACTGAGACACAGGCCCGGACCTGGCACGCTGGTTACTACACCGGTCTTGCTCAGTATAATAGAAAAAATATTAAAA